TACCCGCTGGAAGGGGAACGTGCACAACTCAGTGAACATTTTGCCGGATCTCTCCGGAACATGAACACGTCCTTGAGAACATGCCTGCATGCAGCATCGTGCCCAATGCTTGCAGCTAAACGTGTCTTGGCCTCAGCCGTCAGTCGCGTGTCAAGCTGTTCTGCAGCCCTCGAAAGAATGAGCACTTATGTGTTCTTTGCTTTTCTATCTTTTTGTGTGCACCGCTCTCTCTCTCTCTCTCTTTTTCTTTCTTTTCTCTTATTGCTTTCTTTCTGTCTCTCCTATCTTGGTCCATGGTCTTGGCCTTGGGGCCTACATGTTCTCAAACACTCTCATGAATGTATAACAAAATGGGCCTCAAATCCGCCAATGAAATGCCAATGTAAGGCATGAAGAAAACGCTTTCTGTGGGCCTTCAATGCGTTTGGAGTGGGAGCGTGACCACCAGCAAAACAAAACGATTCTTCCATCTGAATCCGCATGCTCCAGTGCAGCGAGGCAATCTCAGGTTGCCACTCGGCCAGGCCTGGGCTCTGGTCATTATCATGCCGCATCGTGCCGTAACATGCATTTCGCGTATCAAAGGGGACTTCTGCTAGCATTTGTTGTGCAAGAAGCCTTACAAGAAGCTGGGGTCCATGCAAGGGCGGCTTGGCGAAAACACACAAAGGAATCTTAGCTTTCGCTGTGGTCATACTGCGTGGCCCACTGCCCTCCATTCATTGGGTTTTGTTTTGTTTTGTCCTTCTCGCTGTTGGTGGCCTGCTGCAAGGCAATCGCCCTTGATGTCGCTGCATTATGCTGCATTGTAGCTACGGCTCACGCATGGGATGACTAACTGCGAAAAAGCCAAGTTCAGGGCTCTCGTTGGGCCGACTAGCTGCGCCGTGTCAATTTCCCTCTAGCGCCCTCCGCGACGCCCCAATTTTGTAGCTACTAAACGCATAATCTGTACTGGATGTGTATACGTGGGCTCCGGGGCCTCTACAACATTCAGCTGCTTCTGAGTAAGAGCTGTGAGGACGTGCATTATTGAATATCCTGGCCATGCAATCCGGCTATTCCGCACTTGTCCAAAGACAGCCATCATGGCTCTTCAGATATTGGTGTAGTCTGGTGAAAAGTTGGGTACATATTTGCAAACCATTGAACAATTTGCGTAGCGAGCTCATATCCTGCTGGTAGATCCATCTGAAGCCACTGATGATCTTCCGATGGGCAAACGGCAAACATCCCACAATTTTTTGGTTGTGTATGGCTGTCTAGAAAAACACATCCTTGTTTTATCCACTCATGAATCAGCCAGTTGAAAGCAGTGTCATGGCAATAGGGTCGGTCACAAGTACAAGAAGCTGGCAACCTTTCGAACTTTCATGTCCAATGTCAGCTGCGGTGATGCAACAGTATAACATCTGTTGGGATTTCTTATGCTTTCTTACACTCTCTGGAACAAGCTCTTGAGGTTGCTCCTCTTTTACGCGATCCGCTGAATGAGGTGAACGCCCCTGGAGGATGTCACCACATCACTGAGTTCGCCCTTCCTCAGGGAGAAGGCTGCTTGTTCAAAGGCCGGCTCGCTCTGACCCCTGGACACCCAGCCCAAGTCTCCACAAAGCTGCCCAGCGCTGTCTGCGGATGAGCATTCCGAGCGCTCCTGACAAAGCCGCCGAAAGGTGGCATTCCGATAGGCCTCCAGGTCACCATTGCCGTCAGCGGAGAGTAAATCCACCAATAGTGCAGCAAGCTCAGTTTCAGCTTCTACAGGAGTTCTGCATTGTGCTTGTGCCTTTCTTCTTCGAGCCATTGGATCCTCGGGCAATGGCTTGCCTGCCTCAGCACATCGCAGCAACAAGTGACGTAAGCGAACTGATCGAGGACCTTTGGGACCTCGCTGTCTCTTGGCCGGGCGATCTTCCTCCTCATCCTCCTCCCTCTCCCGAATGCACAAGCAAATGCTGGCAGCCGAAGGATCCTGTCGCAATGCCAAGGCTTTGGTGGCCCATTGCATGGCAGCCACCTTGGGTTGCCACAGGAAGACATTCGCGGCCTCTTCCAGGTCTTTCATGGGCAATTCGGCTGTAGCACCACTGCACAATGCCACTCGGACTTCTTCGCCCGCGCGGTAGGCAGCCGTGCGCACCTGCAAGCGACCACCAAGACCTCTCAAATCCCGAAGTCCTAAAGCCGAGAGTGAAGGAATGGGAACCCCTTCTGCCAAGAGCTTCTCCGAGCTGCTAGCACCTGCTTGTCGAAGAATCTGAAGGGTCTCCGCAGCTCTTGAGCATGCATCAACTCCCTTCTGAATCTCTGACAATGCCTCTTGCAGCTGAGCCTTGGCCAGTTTCTGCTTTAGGTCTTCAAGCGCCTTCTTCACCTGGGACGCTTCCGCCTCTTGCTCCACTTGTAGCAGCTGGGAAGCACCTTTCACTGTGAAAGGGTCACATCGCAGAATCCGGTGAAGCTCACGACACACCTCTGCATTCTGCTCAGCCAGCGCCTCCACCACTTTGGAAGCAGAGTCCAAGCGAGCAAAGGCCGCCTTGGCATCCACTGGATCACAAGTCCTGCCGACCTTGTCCGGATGGACCCGAAGTGCCAGCCGCTTGTATGCGGTCTTCGCTTCTGCTGGTCCTTCGGGGCCCTTTTCGGCCATGCCCAAGACAGAAAATGCATCAGGTGCCCGCAGGATCCTTCGCACATCTTCCTCATCAGCCTCACTTGCATCCCAGGCTGATTTGGCCCGTCGAAGCCCGCTGCTGTCAACCAGCGCTCCAACATCAGATGCATGACCAAGGGGCAGCTGAGAAAGGGCAACAGGTGCTACAGGTGATGCTGATGCCAAGGAGTTCTCATCCTCTTCTTCCTGTCCCAGCAAGGGCACCAGTGGCACTGCATCCGCTCCCTGAAAAAGCAATGTGGCAGACGCATGTCCAACGGCCGCTGCTGCCAAGTCTTCACCAATCAGAACCGCTACAACCGCATCACAGCCACCGAGGCCGTGGGGGCCATTGGTTAAGTCTTGGTCCAAGTTTTCCAACAATCCTCGAAGAACTTTCACCAAAGAACCTACATGAGATCCTCGGAAGAACAACTCTTCTGGCATCTCAGCTTCCGAGTCCCACCAACCATGGATCTTCTTAGCCACCTCCTTCAAGAGTCGCTGATGAAACTGCGAGGCACACCAATGTGCAGCTGCAGCATTTCCACGGAGACCGGTGAACAGTGCATAGCAACTGGCTGGAGAATCCAAGAAGCCCAATGGAAACTTCAACGCCAAACGGGCGGTTTTGGGCATATCAGCTAATACCACTGAGCGATCCAATTTTCGCTCTGCACCCACCCCGGGTCTCAGCACAGAAGATGCTGCAGCACGAACCTCAATGGGACAATCAGTGCCCACATGGGGTGCGGGACATACACTCCAACCACCATCAGTGCTTTTCAAGAGGTACTTCCCTCGTTGATCGCCCCGCTGTGCAAAGTACACTTGTGAGGGCGGGTGGACGAGAAGCTCCCCGTTGTGCCGCGCCCAACCTTCGCCGATGGGAATCGCATCGTCATGGGACATGCCGCGTGCACGAAAGGGCACGAAAAGAGTATGAAAGGATATGAAAGGCAATGAACACTAATGAACCATGCTAGGCCTGGGTGGTCTACCTGCCATTCACTCCACGGTGTCATATTTGTCATGCTGGTGAACGTACGTCAGAGTATGCAGCAATCATGAAGCGTAGTGTTTGATCAAACTGAGAAGGTTATCGAGGTGTCAAAGTGTCAGAATTGGTTTCTCTGGAAGCTACATATGTTCAACATTGCTGATGGCGAAATTAGAATGAGTCACGCCTCCATATAATAGAAGAAAGCATGCCCATGTCGCTCCGATCTATACCTTCACTCTTTGCGGGTTGAGTCACACGTTCATGCTTGGCTAAGGTGGTGTGGACTTCATCGATTGTACAAACAGTTCAAGCCACAAACTGCGAGCATGTCCAAGCGTTCAAACAGTTTCCAAAGGACTTTGGCTATTTTGGAAGTGAGGCATGCCAAAGCTTGTCGCTGGCGATCTTAGATTCTTTCTTTCCTCGTGACATCAGTCGCAATGTGTCCGATTCAGTAGCAAGCGGCTTGACACCTCACTTGAGCGTGTCGCAAAGAGTAGTTGTAAATGGCTCACATCATCTCACAACTATACACACACGAAGCTACTATTATACTACCAGCTGCTTTCATTACGTTGCACAGTATCTTGACCTATGCCGGGGCCGCAGGGGCGAAGCAACTTCACTGACGCTGAGGTGGATGCCCAGGGCGCACCTGCCTGGTGGATGCCCATTCCAAACAGTCGTGGCATGATCTTCGGTCGAGCGGGTCGGGCGGCCCGGACCCTGCACCATCTGGTATTTATATTAAAACCATATGTTCATGTACCAACATTAGTGGGAACTTCCTGACCATCTTTCTTTTGGTGTTTGCGGCCTCTCTGTTTTTTTTAAAATAATCCCATCATGTGGGATGGTCGTGTGCTTAGGCATACTTTAGGAGAAGGGCTTCGTCAACCAACCACATATTAGACGTCTGTCCTTTTGATTGTCCTTGTCAAGCGCCCGTCGGACTGGATGTGGGTCTGGGTGATGTTGTAGCAAAGGTGGGCCTTTTTCGACGATGTCCAGGAAAGGATGGAAAAAGGTATGAAAGGTCTTTGATCGTCAAATTGTGCCTTTGGCATCTCCGCAGACCTTTGACATAATGACATCAAATAGTTTTAAGAAAACGATTGAGAGAAACGAGTCAACAAATCTGGCCATATTGGCTGGCCAGGCTGCTGACCCCAAAAAACACCTCAATCGCCAGACATATATACATTATATATATTCAATTTCTTCCAAGCAATCTTGAGATTGTGGCCTACCTTGACGTTTCGGCATCAGCAACTTTTGGCAGTACAAATTTTCATCTCTGCATTTTGGAAAGGCGCCAAGGACGAGAGCAAAGCATGCGCATCATATGGTGTTGATCCTCACGGAATGTGGCCGCTTCAAAGTCCCGGTCCTCAGGGGTGGCGGTCCAGGTCCAAACAGAAGGAAAAGGGTGGCGAGTGCCGGGCGCAGACTGGGCCGGTGGCCCGGAACGAATCCCTGCGTTCTCACCTACGCCAAAAAAAGCTGTCATACCTCGACCTTCGGCTTCCAATGCCAACCGTGCAGCCAGGTGGCAACAACTGAAGGAGGTATGCCAAAGCAAGGTCCTTCTTTTCGCGAGCCAAAGGTCTTTCCTCCAGGGAGGAGTCCCAAAGACGAAACGAATCCTTTGAGTTGGAAGAATCGTGGATCTCAAATGCCTCCCTTGGTTGACTGGCATATCTTTACTTGATTAGGCCCCGTTCTACCACTCCTTTTGCATCAGAATTTGATCCTAAGCCTTGCCTCGCCGCCCCCGGTTTCCAATTCCAAGGCCAGGTCTTGAAAATGTTGAACCAGCCTCAGGCAGGTTCACATCTGAGCTGCGGATCATCAAAGCAAGGCAACTTGAGGCCTGAAACTGAGGTCGTTTCCTCTTGCGCGACGTCGCTCCAGCAATTATTTGGGGAATTTGTGGGTGCAAAGGCTTTGCGTGGGCCTGCCTCGTCTCCGTCTAGGATCTAGAAGCCACATTGGGCATCGCGGGGCATAGGACTGGCTATGTTGCTGATCATGCACGTGCCACTACGTCAGGCCATGCTACTTTCTGACATATCGTTGTAAATCATTATCCTACACACAATCATGTAACATATCGTCCCAATAGAACAAGTGCCACCGACTCAACTCAAACCTGCAATTTGTTTGATTCCCGTAATTCTATAACATGTGGCAATTTCTCAAGACACACCATGGATAACATGCCATCTCAACTGTTTGATGTTCGTTTCCGCCCAGCGACTCTATCAGGGACATCGCGTTTCCGCCCACCCGGTGGGCCGCAACGGTCTCCATCGATGCCTGGCACCATGCCAGAGCCAGAAGGGTCAACATGACCCAAACAACCAGGTCTTCAAATTCGTTCTGTGCTTTCAGAGCTTTTGACTTCTTCAACATCTGGCAAGTTCTGGCAGGTTCAATTCTTGAAAGCAGCATCCATATGCATTCAAAGTAGCTGCAGCCAACGTTTGCCGTTGCTGATGAGCTTCGTCAATGAGGGCAGGAATGTCCTTGCAAAGCATTTGCGGAAAGCTTCAAGCCTCAACCAAGGGCAGTAGTTGACTTTTCCTTTCCTGAAAGGCTGACATGCTTTTGTAAGACATTTCTGCCTGTCCTCGGGTTCGCTGTAATCAACCGCCAGCTCCATCACAAGGCTTTGGAGGATTTCAAGCTCAATGGGTTGCTCAGGCTGGATTCCTGCCGGCTCCGATCGGCTCCCTTCGATGCAGTTTCTTTCGTTGGTCACTTACGTCTTACGTGCTCGGCCTCGTTGTGCTGCAGCCTCTATTGCACAAGGCCCCAGAAGGGTATTCCTGCTATTGTGAGTGGCCTTGGCAGTCCAAAGAACACTACTGTACACACTACTGTATCTACTGGTCTCGTTTTATTTATATATCCAGTCATCCTGGAGCAGGATAATATGATCAATGCGGATGATCAATGCCTCCAATGCCTGATTGTTCAAAGTCACAAGGACGGGGAGGGCCGGCGGCTCTTGGCCAATGGTTTTGGCACAATCCTCGGGCGAAAAGAGCAAGGCAAGGATCATTACATCTGTGGATTTGGACCCGCTAATCCCTCAGTCTGTCACATCCACAGCTCATGAAAGCATGTGTGCACTGGTCTTGTCGAACCTTTTCCCGCTACTGTTTCATCATGCTTGCACAGTTCGTGAAAAACGCGCCAGTCCTCCTCTTCTGCCTCTGGCATGTTTCGCATGTTTGGCCGGCGACCTTCTCTTTCTTGTTCTAAGACTTCTTCAACTTGTTCTTCTCGTTGAAGCTGATCCTCTAAAGCTTTGCACAGTGGACCACTGCTCGAAGTTGCCTGCGACTGTCATAACAATAACTGTTGGCATACTGTGCGTACCAAAAGCTGCAATACCCAAGTTCTTCAAGAAGGTCATACCTAGCGGACCTAGCGTCCTACGGGCCATACCCTTAACCAATATCTGCAGTCTGCAAAGATATGATGCAATACTGCTTAACGGCACCCGGTGTTCCATTCATACTAGACTTAGAGCATGTTAAGCGTCATGCGATGTCGAGCTGCCTCAACCGCTTACATATGAAGGAACTACTCAGCAGCAGGATCACATGCAAAGCCAGCCTATTCTGAGCTTCTCTGATTGGCCTACCATGGTTGGTTATGAGGCATCCTGCAAATAATCTCCAGTACTCAACCAGCTACAGCCTGGCACGCTAGGCTGGTCCGGGCTGAGTTCTGTAATTGTCTTTTTGAGCTTCGGATAGCTGGTCTAGCGGAGCAGCGTGTGGTAAGTGGCCACTTTGTGTGGCTTTGTATGCATGCAACACCAGCTCACTTGGTCCCAATTCCACGAATCTGCAGCCCAGCCCAGCCTGAAGTTTGGAACTCTGCAAGGTCAACCGTGCCATGCTCATACAAGTCGTGCGCTTCACCGCGATGGCACTCACAAAATCTGGAAGTGCATAGGATTGTGACCTCACCGGCTCTAAAGAACGAGATCTCTACACAGTAAGTAAGTATGCATATCTTATCTATCACAAATTCTAGAATTTTGTGTACTTGATTGACCACAAGCCTTAGTATGACCTGCGTGATTATGATACAAGACTACAGTAGCAATCCAAAGGTTTCTTCTGAATGTAGTACGGCATCGTGCTGCCTTCATGGGCTTCAGAACATCATTGTCATCGGATGACCATATGATTAAATCGAGCTTGGATGGGGTCCTGAGGTATTGACATTGCCCATTGTTTTATGACTATTGCCGTCGGTTTCACAACAATGGTCGCCAGTTTTATAACATTGTCATTGGATGACACTAAGTTGGGGTAGGGTTGTGGGCGTCAAACGTTATCGGCTGAAGTCCTCAGTGTCACACCAGTTACATTGTTATCCTTTCACCTGGGTCCACATATTTTCACACCATGTGTCTTTCGGCAGGTGGTGGCGAACTTTGTCGGGTACTTTTCAAAAAGGCAATCTTTCGAAAACGCACCAAGACCCACACGAAAAAGCATGCCGTCTTTCACAGGGCCGTGATGGGCCGCGACTATCACATGCTACCTTGTTGTCCCTGCGTGGAGAGCTCACCTCGAAAAGCATGGGCAGTGGCGTTGTTCAGATTGGTTCAGTTCGACGTCACAATCAAGGAGCACTTTCCGAGTCCATGTCTTCTTGTTGTACTGTGTGCATGCTTTTCCTATGTTTTGAGTGCTTTTTCTTGTGGAAACGCTTCACTTTTCCCGTGGCCATATTAGTCCAGAGACACGAATGTATCTCTTCCTCACAAATGATTCCAGCTATGCCATCAAAAGCTCACTGACTCTGTGATGCTGTTGTGTGGGGTCTCATAGACAAAGACCGCTACCGCTACTTATGGTTTGTGTGTTTGCATCCAAGGATGCAACGGCCCTACTGCAAAATCCAAAGCTCTGATGTAGCGACCGGGTGGACCAATGATACTTGTGAAAATCCAAGATCTTCTCTCCCTGTAGGACGGGTTGCGATGACAAGTGCAACAAGTTCTTATTGAACTCGTGCTGCAGCTCAACCACTGGCAAGTCATTGCTATCCTCCCCGAAAGGCTGATCAATCTCTTGCGCAATATAAAACCTGAAAACATCAGGTCGACTGCACAAAGAACACTGCGTCTGAATTCCAGTTCTACGAATCCGGGCGTTTGCCAGTTAATGACACCTTGACATACGGTGATAACTTGGGTCATTTGAACGTGTGCGTGGACCGAAGCCCGACATCAACATCTCCCAACGGTCAATTCCAATTCAGGAGAGGCGCAAAGTCCAATATGAGGTGGACATGAGCCAGACAGTGGATGCTGCCCACCACCACTCTGAAATCAGTTGACAGGCCACCAGAGGGCTCACCAACCACTGCAGGACCAGCATGAAAGACAAATATTGTGAATAGGGAAAAGGAAAGGGAACTTCAACGATCTTCTTCAGTTCTGCTATGTTCACCATACCTCAGATCCAGTTGCCCGTCAAATCAAACACCTGACTCTGTCAGGAAATCGCGGAATCATGCGCAATCCTAGGTGTTGGAACCTAAGTGAGACAATAAAAGGCTCTGAAGGGATTCTTAGACCCTACAGCACTAGAAAGTGCAAAAGTGCAATGGGCCACCTCAAGAAACCGTGGGGTGCCAGGGTCTGAAACCGTGGGTCAGCTTCCTGCGCTCCTAACGCTGTTGAATCATAGCAAACATATATTCATAATCATTCATGAAGGCCGCCATTCTCTTTACCTGAGAACAGGCCTTGTAAGGACACTGAAGAGGGCGAAATTGCTGCCATGTTTACAACCACACACACACACACGCACACACACGTCGCGCAGCCTTTGTTTGCTATACCGCATGTTTTGTTGTGGGTGTCCATCTTGTAAAGTTTCATGCATACATGGTGCTACCATGCTTGCTACCCTCTTCTTCCGCAAACACAAGCAAATTCTGCCAGGCATGTTGTGGTAGGCTCTGTCAACAATTCACGTGAGGTGGATCCTCGGATCTACTGTATATTTTGTCCTTCTGGACATTTCCCCTCCCAGGGGACAACATTTAGAGCCTGTTTTTGAACTCTTTTTGTTGTATTTGTGTGTGTGCCTCATTGCACGCACTGTTTTGGACCTAGTTGACCACAAGTTCAACAGGTGAAGCAGTTGGACATATATCCAAACAATACTGAACGTTATCTTTGTCCAAATGCCCTTTTCGTTTACAGTGAATGATGAAGCAAGCTTGTTCTAAATAAAAAGTGACATGGAAGGACAAAACTCGCGAGACTTGGTTTTCCATACTTCCTTGAGTCTCCCCATATTGTGGGAAACTGGCCTCCCTGCTAAACTGGTTGGTCAATTATGTACATATATATATGTTATATATATATATATAATATATATCGAAAACTCGAAACTCTTTGCCAAGCTGCCAGCGGAGAGCTCCTGAAAGGCTCTGCTCAGGACGGGTGGCGCAACTGCAAACAGCTTCTTTTGATCATTTTCCACCACCAGCCGCTCAATCCACAACATGACAGTCTCAGCCCTCAGTTGTTCAGGACATATGCATATGCATGTAGTATAATTTGTATACCAATGTTTATACCATATGTAACTATATATATATATATCTATTGAGAGATGCTCCGACCACTTGAGTGCGGATTGAAATGGTGTGGGACATGACAGGGCCAATCTACGGTCGAAGGCATCATAATGTAGATTCTTGATTAATACCGATGTAGACTCTTGATTAATAACCTCCCCCACAAGAATTGGAGATCCTTTTCATGTGGTGTGTTTATTCATCAAGAGTCTACACCCTAGTAACACGAAGCTATTAGGAGCAAGGGCATCTCTTTACCAACCGAGCTCTGAGAACGTCTCTCCCTCTCTTCGTCCGTGCCGCCTCGCCGTCTCCGCTTAGCCCAGCAAACTTTCCAAGCCCGGTAGATGGCTGCCCGTCAATTCACCAACCAATTGGCGTTGAAAGAACATCTTCTTGCTACTCCACTCCGGGTTGATGTGGTCAACGGGGTTAGGGAAACCACCTGGTACCTGCTAGAGTAGGTTAGGAAGAGAGATGAACACAGGCTACAATTGCTATGGAATGCTGGTGCCCTTTCTGTGGATTCGTTCACCCAACAAATCAGGAGAGCAAATCCCCAATCGCGAGTGCGTTGAATTCGGCTACTCGGTCGTTCTGCCAGGCAGCCTATCAGAGCTTGTGCATGAATGCAGAAAATCCACAGTGTCTGGACTCAGACCACTTAAATCAATAACTTCAAGTCTATCATCAGACATCTCGCACACCTGCCAAGCATTCATTACATAATGGATTGTCGTCTATTGCATTTGGACTGCAAGAGTGTAGAGTGGATCATCACTCCTTGAGGGAATTGGTGTATGCCAGGCTTCCACATTTCAAGAATGAAACAACATGTGTAGCAGTAGCATGCAGTAGCATTATGCAGCCATTCCAATTGGTTTGCGCATTCCAATTGGTTCACTTGTTCACACGTGCGCGCCTGATGGAGTGCGTAGCAATGCAGCAAGCTCATCAATCTCAACAAGTACTCCCCTGGCAAGGCGGCTTTGCGTGACAATTGCTGCGCATCGTTTCCTCCTTGTTTTATTCTTCATTCATCCTGATTCCAGTCATTCTCCTCCAGTGTGTTTTTCTTCCAACATGGGATGCGATTGAATGTTTACAAAGGAACATGGACTGCTTACCTGTGAATTTTGGTCAACGAATGGTTCTTTAACTCTCTAAGGGGCTGAAGTGGGAGACTTCCTCCTCACGAGCTTGATCGGTGGAGCAGAAGGCCAACAGATTGCTGTATGCATTGGTCCATTGACCCCGGATCTTGTGCGTCAAGGTCACCTCAAAATCCGTGACCCGGTCTGATGCATCGGCGACATGGTGACATGATCCCATTCACGATGATTCAGGAACATGCTAGCATATGTCAGCATGGTCTTGAAATTACTGTTGTAGATGCAAAGTCACATCAATACCTGTTACTGTTAACATCTGTTACCTATGTAGCACAGCTGCGGCCCAGATGCACTCTCCCAAAAGCGAGAATATGCTTGGTTGCTGCGGAAAACAATCAAGAAGCCAAGAATGAATGTATATCCAGCCCATATGGTCTCGATGCCCCCTCCAGTGCCAATCGTCTCTGTCATGGCGTCCCGCAAAAACACGTGTAAAAGAGTAGTCCTGTGGCGATACAGCTCGCCAAAGACTCACAGGCTGCTTACTGGACAAAACTGCAAATCCTAAACTGCATGCGCCTTACAGTAACGCAAAAAGAACGAGAACCGGCTCCTGTGATACTCACAATCACACACACACATTCAGAAAGGAAGTCTTCGAGCTAAGCATCATCAATGCACACGGCACTGACCAAACCAATGCCTTCGGAACGACTGAGCCTTGGAGCCTGCAAAGCACCTGCATCCCCCACGTTCCTGGGGATCACGGTTTTAGGCGTATGAGAGGGGTGACACCAACAAGTGAACTCCAGCAACGAGCCTTCGCATTCGGATACTTTCAATGAATTTCATGTCAAACATGGTCAAACCAAACGTCCTAGAAACCTGACGTGTCATGAGTGATTGTTCTCGCCAAGTTTAAGACATCAAGAAAACATCTCAACACATGTAAATACAGCAATTCCATGGCCAAGCATCCATGGCCATACTTGATCATCCCAAAAGCTCAGTTATCTTTTCGGATGCAATGCTCGAGCTAGAAATGCTGCTAGATGCTGCTGGGTCTGTTTCTGCACGCATCATCTTCGACTAGCAAACCTTTGGCGTCGGGCTAAGCTATGGGAAAGTCCATGTCGCAATTTGGCCAACTGATTGGGCTTTCAGAGGGGCAACGAGGGGCAACCCCCTCGAAGAAGTGGCTTACCAGGCTTACCAACAGCTCAACATACTGTACTAGTTTTTCAAGCTGCACCGGCTGGCCAGTTCCTGCCTCTGCCAGCATTGTCACAAGCTTTCCATACTCATTATTCCTGCACTCGGAGGCAATGACTGAAGGTTTCTCCTCCCTGCGTCTCCCGAAAGGCCTTGACACGGGCCTCTGCTGAAATCTCTATGCTTGGGCCTCTCAATGCAGCTGAAAGGAATGGATTCCCTGCCTCAGCAGCCTCTCTTTGAAAGCATTCAGGACATGCTTCAAAGGCCTTGGTAAAAATTGGAAGCTGTATTGACAAGTCAGCGTTCCTGCAACTGAACGATGCAGGAAATACGCGGAGAAATGGCTGCAGGAAGCACTGAATGCTTGCAAAGCCACTGGCCCCAATGTTGGCTGAGGGATGTAGACACTGGTATATATCTACAGTGATCGTGGGCCCTCATAGCCACCACACTCATCGCGACACCGAAGACCCCTATCAAACGCAAAAAACATGTGATGCACTGCCGAGCCCATTGAGCGCCCATTGAGCACTGAGATACTGAGGCCAAATCTCTGTGCACAGGCTCACGCGCTGGCCAAGACTTTCATACCTAGGGTGCAGTGAGTGGTGGCCGAATCAAACCCTTTTGTGCTTCTTGAGTTGTATGACAAGGAGTCACAGTGCCTCAAACGACTGTGCACCCGCCAGCACATATGACAGTAATTATCCGAGATTTCATCGACTCAGCATTCTGGTTTAAAGACCTTGACTTGTTGACCCCTCGACTCTCTTGATCCACAGCATAGCCTTCCTGCCAGCTCCTGCCTTTTTGGAGCGCGAACGAAGGAATGTCAACTAGGCCGCCGGAATGAATGCACAACCAGAACTCCCCTGCACCGAAGGCGCTCACTCCTCTTCGGAACTCGGAGCAGGTGTCAAGTACGGCAGCAAAGTGTAAATGACAAATGGATACAAATGGTATTTTCACTAGGAAGTGTCGTGATATCTGATGAACAGTTCGGAAACATTTGGCCATGGAGACCATGGAATCACTGAGGTTGATTCTGCGTATCTGAGGTTGCTCTCTAAAAGATTGCGTTTGATGGTTCAATAAGACGTGGACGCACATGTATATATGTACAATGTCCATACATATGCACACGCATACAAATCAACTGTTGAGTACTACTTATTGAAGTCAAGTAGTATGTTTTAATGCACACATCTGTGCAGCGCAACTGCACTGACAAAGATTCCAGCTTTGTGCTCTTGCGTGTGAAGGTGAGCTGATGTGAGTAACATGAACATCTGAAACATATGAATGTACTTATGGAATCTTATGGATTGTGTCGCACTGTGCTAGCTTCACACCCTGGCGCGGATATGGTTTCTTGCAGTATTTGCTGCCGACTGCAGCAACAGAAGGCTCCCGGCTCAAGCAACGCAGTGGCTTTCTGTGCCGCTTCTTAATTGTGCCAATAGCGGCCCATCCCATATTCTGGATTGAGCTCTATCGACTTGCGCACTTGGAGAAGCACTGCGCACGCCATCAAAAGCAACTCCTTGGCTTAGTTGAAATCTGTTTGAAGTCTGATCTTGGCTTGAGCAACTCTGTTCGCTTACGAACAACTGGACATGAAACCATTCTATGTTTTGCGTCTGTGGACGAAGGCGGCCAGATCTGGAGGGATCTTTCTGTGCCTCTCCACTGCAAGCCTTTCAAACTGAAGGGCTCAAGCGGTCTGCATGCAGCGGTCTGCACGTTCGACAGCTGGCTCTGAGCTACAAAGCAAAATTATATATCAGCTTAGCAGGATGATGACCATGTTCCTCTGCAAACAGGCGGGGTTGTCTACTTCCATTATTATGCCAGGGAGAGTACCATTTGCATGTTTGTCTAACAAGGTAATTCGCGGACCATGTTGATCCAGTTGTTTCTCTTCCTTTGCTCTCTGCATCCCTTGAAGCTATATATTATATATATATATATCTTTAAACTAAATCCTATCAAAAACACACAACATCACAAAACAACTGAAAGCCCAGCAGTTCTCAAAAGGCATGTTCTATCATATCGCGTTATTGAAACCTGCATCACGTGCTCGATTTTAGCACATTGGCAGGGTGGAGTCTCCTTGAAAATACCTTGCCTCTGATATGCTTCGCTCTTGTTGTAAGCGGTTGCATAAACATTATCCAAAATGGAATCGTCCCCGGCATATACTTACCTTCAAGACTCCTTCTTCCTGTTTGTGGGCCCTCTCCTCTGATGCCTAATATGGATCCGATCCGATCCACATTGGAATCCACATTTGCCAGAAAAAGGGTTTGTCCCTTCTGAAATTAAGAGAAGGGATGACTATCCATGATCTACAACCACAGTGAATTTCTCTCATCCTTCTGGACATTTGCGCCATCTCCTTTCGCCTTCCATGGTTTGGGCCATCGGCTGTCTGCAGCTGTCGGCTGCCGAGGTGCATCACTGACATGCCTGGCACTTCTACTGGGCATCGGTGAAACGAGTCAGGTATTTTGATCTTTGGATGTTCGGAGGGCGCAATGCTGACGGGTCAGGTGAAGATTGACACAAGGACCTTGGTTCTGGCACACCCTGCATTCAAACACGGGTTTCAGAATGAGGCCCTGTGCACAGGTAAAGGAGACTATTGCTTGAACTTCCACAATTCAATTATGACTGATATGAGTTCTACTTTGAGGGTCAGCTCCATCTTGGGGATTGAGATGGATTGAGTGACATCTTCTATAGGGGCTTGGAGGCCTTGCAAAGCCATGGCATGGGCAAGCAACTTGCGGGCAAGCGACGAAGGCAGCAAAGTTGGCGATGAGAGCGCCCATTTGACCACAAAATCCCATATTCTCTGTAATCTCTTGAACCTTGGCGTCGGACGTCCGAAGCAAACTCGTTGAGCCATATTGAGTCTTAAGAAGTCTCAAGTTCCACAGGTAACTCTACTGTATATTGATCCATTGTGTGATTTCAAAAGCCATTGGGTTCAGCATGCTTGCCTAGACGCCTGTTCCTTTGGCCCTATGCCTCGCGCATAGAGATAGAAGGTGGTCACCTTGGCAAGGCATATATAATCAAGTCATGAAAATCTATCTGTCACCGGGCAAAACATCACAACACCACCGGGGTCAAGCAGCTAGCAAGCCACGCGAGAAATAGAAAAGGCCGCAGGTCAGGGGCATTGCAAGAATGGCAAACTGATATTGAAACCTTGGCTCGGCAAGGTCAAACCAGCTCTTATACTTTGTGTCGAGGCTCCGGTTTGTCTTGCCCGATTTGCTTTCAGTGCAACTTGATTTCCCTGTTCGGTATATCAGGTATATCTGTTCTCAGGGTGAAACAAAATCTGGTCCACATTAATGCATTCATGGAGCCATTTAGAGACATCTTGCACCGATGTCAGCACTGACACTAGGAATGATGCCTCAAGAGAAACACAAACTGTACTCTGAACATGTGGTGGCGTTTTATGCCATGTCTGAGTCCCGAACTACAAGCAACACCATCCAGATCGTGAGTACTAGCCTGTTTTCTCGCACCAGGGCCGTGGCCAAGCGGCCCAGAACATCTCCTGTCGTGAAGCTGTGATGCTGATGGTGCACAGCACCACAAACGTGCGACCCAAGTCTGACCCCTTCCAAGGCCACGCGCCTGCGTTCTGCAGGACCTGCATCCAAAGCAATAGCTGTTGACTCTCCTAAGCTCGCACGGCTTCCGGACACGAGCCACAACGCAGTCATTTTTCTTGGGGAAGGGGATAAACATCTCCAGGCTGAAGAGCAACAACCATAGCAACATCCCTACAATCCAGCAAAACCAAACAATAGGTTGATGGTCAAATACAAACCGTGATAATATCCACTGCCTCTGTCTTGTGTGTGTGTGCGCTTATGTATATATATATAGAGAGAGAGAGAGATCTGTGCGTGTGATCTCCATCATTGATATAGATACCAGTCTCATCCAGTATCTACGTCCCTTGTAAAATGACCCACCATCGTGGTACACTAGTACACCTTGCCGCCCAACTTCTGTGCTGTTGGTGAAGTGCCCAGCCATGAAGGGCATCAAGGTGGGCATGGTGTAAGTGGTGGCATAGACCACAAAGCACCCAGCCATTAGGACTTTCGCCTCAGGTCGGCCATCAAAACTTTCGCACTCCTGAGGGAGCTCCATCACGAAGAGCACAAAAAACGAGTGACAGCGAGGATGTGGTCTAACAGCGGTTGTGTCAATCTGCCGGTCATTGAATTAGTTCTTAAAGATTGTTGAAGCAGGTAGATAACTGAACGCTAGTGATTAAATCAGCTTGGGAACGACCCGAGGCATTGGGCCTTTCTCGGAGGCACATGCCTGCTCATCACCTGAGGGAACGAAACCAACAAAGAACGCCACGAAGCGCACTCTTAAGAACATGGAAGCGAAACATCCGCCCTTGGAAACAAAAACATGTTGTCACTTTCAATTGAGTGTGTATAGCAGGGGAACCTCGGAAAAAGGTACAGGTGGGGCTGGGACACTCCCAAAAGACATCGAACTGCCCAGGTTGTCTGAGTCCTGTGCCTGCCGTCTGAGGAGCAGCAACTCCATTCTGGCCAAAGGTGCTACAGCTGCGCCACACAAACATGGCACCCTGACCAGCCTCAATGACTGTCTTTTTTTCCAGTTCCTTCCCTGAAGCCTTCTGCCACAAGTCACAAGTCCCCGATGAAGCAAAACGACTGTTCATACTATTCTGCCCAGAAGCTTGCGTCGCGGCAGCTAAAAGAAAAAATATCTCTGGAGAAAATCTTGGATCTCCTTGTTCACAACCTCCCAGCTGCCTCAGGTCACACTCACACTGGAGCTGGCATACATATCCAGCCTTGTGGCGCTCTCGCTCTCGTCATGGCCGATCCCCGTTATTTTGTTTGTTAACATCTTCGGAAACTATTACGTAGTTTAAACATGATCAAACATGTACATCTCGGTATCCCATGCTTGATTTTTCGCTGCGCAAAACTATTCATAAACCAAGTGTTGGCAGAATCTAGAGAATCGTGCGTAGCCCGTAGCCCTGTTCCTGGTTTTCATCATTTTCGCCATGATCCCCCCAGAAGCGCCCGGCCGGTCCGCGCCACGGTACGTGGCTGCGAAGCCTGTAGCCAATAGACCGCCTAATGTCATGCCGACACCTCGGGAGTGCGGTCGGACTGCACAGCCCAGTTGCAGTTCACGGCATTTTCTTCCTCATGAGATCCGTGTAGAACACAAGGATCTGGAACTCCCTCACTCCCCGGGAGGGGCTCAGGCATGCTAAGAGGGTAGTGATGAGCATGCTTAATTTCTCAAAGTGGTCTTCCAAAATGGCTAACCCTTTACTCCTTCCGAGGCTCTCATTGCCCGCACGCAACTGGCGGGCCGCTGAGCAACAGCTGCCCAATAGGTGACGCTGCTCATGCAGCCTGACAAAAGGTGAGTCTGTTGAATGAGGTCTGCCCCTGGCCATGTGGACCACCCAAGAAATTGGCTTTCCTCCTTGTGCATTTTTCCATTCCAGGCGACAATGTGACACTTCATGGACTTCTCAAGGTCTTTAGCTTCCAACAATCATGGCCTCTTGAATCTTTGAGATCATTTGGGTTAGACTTACTCTTCCTGGCGCTCATTTCCAACAGCTTCTCCCTGTCAGGGCCAGGAAAAGCATCGCCCTAATTTGCGCCTACGCTTCCAGCGAGGACGGTGCAAACAAGAAGGACAGGTGTGGAATGCCATAGCAGCATGCTTGCAAGCAAGGACAACACCTTAGCCAATGCCAATCCGATGGTCACATAAGTACTCGCTAGCAATTGAAACATGGTCCACTTCCATGCTAGTGAGTCAGAGTGTATCCAATGCGCTTCTTCGATATTAATGTGACTGCACTGCGCTATGCCGCTACGCCTAATCAGTGGTTGAGGCATTGGCAGCCACAACCTGGAAGCAGCCGATTGCAACGACAAGGTTGCCCGGTCTTCTTCTGGTCGCGGCTTTGTAAATAATTGGCGCTATGTTTCCTTGGCACAAGCTGCATGACTATGTCACTTCACGCATGCGCACACACACACACACACACCTACCCACACAACATCACACAACCAGGTTTTCGGTGTTCTATGGTTTTCTCATATCTTACTAGCTCGTTGGATGTTCCAACATGTTCCACCAAGTCTCCGATTTGAGTGCAAACAGCTATCAGGTTTCCCAGTCGTTTGCCCGCCGGCAGCTCGGCCACGAAGAACGGAAGCTCAGCCTGAGTGCCAAGGCGAGCCCGAGATCGCTCGGCTCGGTGTTCAAGGCTGGAAACCAGCCCGTTCGACACAATACACACTGGTTTGCTCCATGTTAGTTTGATGTTATTTTTTTCCCCCTGAATGTTTTGACTTAAAGTTGATAAATAGTTGTGGCATGTTGTAGAGCTTTCATTATCGTTCCCAGTTCCACTGCCTACCCGAAAGAAAATTACAAAATATGAACACAAGCCTTACAAACCCCGTGCCCTTGATCGAATGCTGAGCCACGGTGATGATATTCAGACTCCACCATCCGCTCCTCGCAAATTATGAGCGCACAGCAAAGCCACGACCAAGCCACGCGAAGCTCTTCCACAACTTATGCCGCCAAGACACATGCCTGTGAGGCACCACCTCGAGATGAGACAAACATGTAGGAGGGAGCAAAATGATACATAGGGGATTTCCACAATTCCACATAGCTTCACCATGTTCACATCCCTTCTTGCATTTTGTTTTATACTCTCCCCCCAATGCCGTGTTATGCTCTGAAAAGGGAGTGCCATACAACTGCTGGCTTTGATGATCTGGTACTACCTGAGTTGAAGCTGAGGCATCGACACAGCAATCTCCATGTAGCTGGCTGCCTGTGAAGAAGCAGCAAAACGTCCCCAACAGCACCAAGTTAGCACCAAAAACTTGAGGAGACGGGGGTGGACGAAAGGTAGCATGTCTGCGGCTGCTGGTTGCTGCTGCTGCTGCTTGCTGCTGCTGGTTGCTGCTGCTGGTTGCTGCTGCTGCTTGCTGCTGCTGGTTGCTGCTGCTGGTGCTGTTGCTGCTTGCTGCTGCTGGTTGCTGCTGCTGGTGCTGCTGCTGCTGCTGCTGGTTGCTGCTGCTGGTTGCTGGTTGTTGCTGGTTGCTGGTTGCTGCTGCTGGTTGCTGGTTGCTGCTGCTGGTTGCTGGTTGCTGCTGCTGCTGCTGGTTGCTGCTGCTGCTGCTGGTTGCTGCTGCTGCTGCTGGTTGCTGCTGCTGGTTGCTGCTGCTGGCTGCTGCTGCTGCTGCTGCTGCTCCTGCTGCTGGTTGCTGCTGCTTGCTGCTGCTGGTTGCTGTTGCTGTTGCTGTTGCTGTTGCTGTTGCTGTTGCTGCTGCTGCTGCTTGCTGCTGCTTCTGCTGGTTGCTGCTGCTGCTGCTGCTGCTGGTTGCTGCTGCTGCTGCTGCTGGTTGCTGCTGCTGGTTGCTGCTGTTGCTGCTGCTGCTGCTGGCTGCCGCTGTTGCTGCGGCTGCTGGTTGCTGCTGCTGCTGGTTGCTGCTGCTGCTGCTGGTTACTGCTGCTGCTGGTTGCTGCTCCTGCTGGTTGCTGCTGCTGCTCCTGCTGGTTGCTGCTTCTGCTGGTTGCTGCTGCTGCTGGTTGCTGCTCCTGCTGGTTGCTGCTGCTGATCCTGCTGGTTGCTGCTTCTGCTGGTTGCTGCTGCTGTTTGGCTGTTGCTGTTGCTACTTCTTGCTGGTTGCTGCTGTTGCTTGAATCCTGAAGACTGCTGCTGCTGCTTTGCTGTCCTCCCCTCTTTCAATTTCGTCTGCGCAACCCCCAAAAAACTGAACGAAAACTCCTGGTTGCTGCTGCTTGCTGCTCCCGGTTGCTGCTGCTGCTGCTGCTTTCTTCTGCTGCTTTCTGCTGCTGCTGCTGGTCGCTGCTGCTGCTGCTGCTGCTGGTTGCTGCTGCTGCTGCTGCTGCTTGGCTGTTGCAGTTGCTACTGCTGCTGCTGCTGCTTTGCTGGTTTGCTGCTGCTGCTGGCTGCTTGCTTCTGCTCAAATCACTACCAAATTCTCCGCGGCGCAGGGTGGAGTCGAATGGGGGGGGGCCCCCCCCCCGACATTTAAAACCAACTCTTAAACCACCGAAATCAAGCACGGGAGACTCTCACCACCCCCAATACATTGCTAAAGCAAAGACAACTCAGGTAGCGTAACTGCTACCTTTCGTGATCATGAAGCATCTGTCGGACATCTTAGGTCTGGATCACAACACACGTATTCAAGTCAAGTCCTTGTTCGGTTGGGAAATGCTGGAGGCTAGACCGACATCCCTGTTCACCAGCTCGGCCTGCTCATCTGGCCGGCTCTCACCACTGACTGCCCGCACCAGGCGTGCTTCCGGTGATCGGGCACGATCAGTGCTGGCGAGTGATTCGCGCAGGTCTCTTTGTTCTCCGCCGGAATGGCCTCGGAACGGGTGCGATGCCAACGAAACGGGTGCAATGGAGGTGCGTCGGACTGAGGGATGGGCTCCTCTGGTTGGGCAGAGGCAACATGCTGGGAACTTCAAGTCTAAAAGCATTGGAATTCATAAGTTATTCTGAGCCAAGCTGCAGCATCAACAACTAGCAGCATGCCATACAGGTTATATATATATATAGCTGGACCACAGCAACTATCAACTATCACAATCTTTGTGCACAACTACGCACAACCACACAGGAACAACATGTTCATCTCCTGTCTTGAAGCTACCGACTGCAACATGATCTTTCATGAACATTCGACTTACGGTAACTTTTATGATGGAAATAACGTATCTGAAGCAAAGTCAATCTATCTGAATATAACATGAGATATAGTATTATATAGTATTTTTATCTACCTCCAAGTCCCATGAAAACGTGAGGCAAGTATTAAATACATGTACAAATGCACCCGGTGGTTAATTGGCTTTCTCGCTCTTTCTCCGTTTGGAGATCCTTTCAGTTCGGCAGCTTCTCCGAGTACCCAGCCTGGCCCGATCCTCCGTGGCATGCCTTTTGAAGCCATGGTCACTTGGAAATGGTTGAATCCCTTGGCGCGACAACGGCGTTGTACTCGAGACCGCGGGCTCCTACGAGACCCGGAGGTGGCAGCCGCCTATGGGGTGCATAAGAGAGAAGGTTGACCAATAGGTTCAGCCTTCTTGGTACCTTCTCCCAATTGACATCTATGACCTCTATATGATTTGAGTCTTGAACTTGTCAAATTGAGGCGAGAAACTGCCCCGCACCGACGTGACCTACATTGAGCACGGTCGCTCTGGCGCCCGAACCCAGAAATGAGGTGATGCGGTCGAAGGCCTCCCGTGGCTTTGCTCTCAGAAGTTCGAACCTCGGGACGTTTGGATATTAAGCTATAATGTATACAGTATACATGTAATATAGATATGACATGCAATGTGGAACAAACATATAGAGTTATATATATATATAAATACATCTTCTAGGGATAACCACTTCTTCTTTCTGTAGAACCCTACCCAATGCACCACATAAAGCTGCAGGGGTTCGGTTGGCTGTTGGCTCTGTTCAGGCCCGGATGGAGTGCAAAGAACGCAAAAGAAAAAGCTACCGATGCCAAAGGTGGTTGGGACAATGTTCTGTTCTACCAGGTCATGCTCTGCCAGATTCACTCCCCAACAGCACAGCTTTGGGGTCTTTAGCCATAGCAAAACAAATTCCGGAGCAGGTTCCGAGAGCAAGCTTCGCAGCAATTGCGCAGTTTATGGTATTATCGTTGAGGGGTACCAGGCAAACTATCAAACAATGAACTTGTCAATCTTGAGATGAGGAAGAGGTTGAAAGTGCTGCCTGCTACAGGTTGCCTTAGGCTCCTTAAGGGTCCAAATTGACTGCGGTCTTGGCAGCAAAGGCTTTCTCGAACGAAGTGCTGCTGCAAATCGGGTGTGCGTACAGGTGGGGAAGCAGCTACCTACTTGACGTTTTAACGAGTGGGCCAAAAGCTCACAAGAAATATGTTCACCTACGGCCTAAGGAATTTTTGCGCAGAAGCTACGGAGAGCATGCGGTGCAGCATCCATAAACAACTACAAATGTATTGCCTCTAAACATGCCAACTTGAAGTTGGCTTAGGAGAACGTCGATGAGGAACGGAACACG